GTGGGAGGATTTTGATAGTTGAGAAGATAAATAATACGCTAAAAGTGATTTGGGATGTATTTAGAATTTTTTTTTTAAAACCTAATAAAGTCAAAATTGGAATTGCATAATGGGGTAAATAAGTCATTTAATATTAAATTTTAATATGAGGTGCATTCAACATTTTGTGGGGTGCTAATATAAAAAGCCTTGAATAATTCACTAAATTCAGGTTATATTGATATTTTAAGAAAGAAACAAAGACAAACATCTAAATTTTGTTTCAAGTTAAAGCTAAAAGACGAATTACTTTCAAAGTGTTGATATCTTAACGACTAATATATCTTCCACCTAAACAATATACGTTGAATCCAACGAAGTTTTCAAAACATGCCTAATCACCAAACGTTGCATGCTTCGGATCAAAGTTGAATATCCTACCTTAGTTGGCGTCATTGTCGAAAAACACAAAACCTACGCCTTCGGGTTAGCTCGAATTCCTTCAATATAACCCAAAAAAAACACACAATACACATCCTAAAGAGACCATTGGAATCTACAAAGTGACATTACAAGATATTCATCGAAAACTCGAAAAAAAATGTTATGGGAGGACAAAAATGACTAAAGCAGCCGCAAGGGAGTAGACAACCAATTCAGAAAATTGTTGAACGCATCATCTACAAGTTACAATTGGCAATTGCTAACCAAATGGAGGCTCAAACTGATTACAACAAGATCGCGGTAAATGGCGATCGGACCTCAGTTGTCCTGAAATCCCATTACCATACATCTCAAACAATTTACTTTGGACTAACGCACAGATAACAGACGAAATATACAGTTAACCTTTTAACAACACAATGAGTACCCGATTCAAAGCTAAACACGCTTACAACCGCAATTTTCATTCATGGAACTAGGCGTTTGATTAACCGGCCAACTTTTCAAAACATAATGCTTGCAATTTGATAAATTTTACCCTTAAATTAACAAAAAGAAACAGAAAAAATCAGAACGAATAAGATGAAAGATGAGTGTATATACAGATAAAAGGGTAGAAGATTCCACTTAAAGGGTATGTTAAACGTTTGACACACATCAAATCCCATTAATGAAACAGCATCCCTTCAACACAGTTCGACAAAACAAGAAATCAAAACAAAGGCGAAGCCATTGAGAGGTAACAGGAGAAACTTTTTGGGCACTCCCCTGCGTGTTCTTAACATAGGATCAACGAGGGCATTACAAACTATATATTGCATATTGCATATGCAATTGGATCCATGACGATAACTATACGGTCTTGAAAGCTAGAAGTAGGTACCTTCTGGAGGCTGGACCAACTTCCGGTTATGTGGGGCGGCCATCTCCTTTTTCAGCTGTGTAAGTATATCCTCCATGGTGTACTCTCGCTGCCAGTTTGCAAGAAGTCCAAACTTCTTCGGTTCCACCTATCAGATATGATGCACTCAGATATTGTCAAATCAAATATCACTAATTATATCCATGCAGACTGAATTTCAATAGTCAGACACCAGGTCCAAAAGTCACATGTTTACTGTTCTTATAATCATACTCGAAATCATTACAATCCCGTGATTGTTTGTCATAGTGATTGTAAATGACCATAAAGTATCTTAATTCTTCTTTGCCCAAAAACAAAAGACAAATATACATGACATAATGCATGGGTGTAACCCTTCTCTTTCCTTTTGTGCTTGTGAAAAGGAGAAGGGGGTTTGACCACCAGAAATGGGTCTAAATAATGCTTAGTGTAAATCACTAGATGTAGTGAGAAAAGGAAAATGCGAACCACGAAGCAATAGATTACAAGCCAAGTATGTAATAAAATTTTAACCATACCACTCCAGTTTCATGGTTAACACAAGTCATGTTAACCCGAGAATGAAAACGAACAGTTGGTGCCTTCTCTGGGTAATCTTTATCACAGAACAGTTTCAACTGATAGATTCGACCTTCATGTACAGTCTGGAAAAAAGGAGGAAATATTGCATTACACAGAAAATATATAGAAAAGCATATTTTTATTGCTTTTGTACGCTAAAACACCTTTGGGAAAAGAAATGTTGCCTGAATAATACTCTATTATCCAGCGGGAGAAAAGAATGCATTAACCCCAAACAGATTCTTAGAGAGGGGAATATAGAAAGAATTATCTCCAAAAGGTTTTCTGTTATATTTAAAGGTGGCCAAAAAAGGCTTCTTTCTTTTGTTTGTGAGATTTGAAAAGACCATGTCCAATTCCCGCTCCCAGAAATGCACCTTCCTTTACCAAAATAGATAAGTAAAGAAAAAAGAGACTGGACAAGTACAGTCGGTTTTTAAGCAGGAACAAGTAACTTGCACCAGCTGTGAAAACAGTGATTTGTACTCGGCATGTGCTGAAATATGCAAATATATTAGTTAGTTTAGCCCAAGATGAACACTAAACGGATATCCTATCACTCAAATTAGTTGGTAGAATCTGGTCTGCTTTCCACAACCACGAGTCAACCCTTTGTCCTTTCAAAGTCTTAAAGCAGGGACTACTTCCACCAAATTTAAATAGACTTATCTTAAATTTGGGAGAGATCACAAATGCAACACAATCTTCTCCGATAAGCACACATGAAACACATAATCTGCCAAAACAAACTTTAAACAAGAACATGACATAATCTAAAAGAGAAGTGTGAAATTTACATTGTGGGGACCGATGATGGTGCCAGTCCAAGAACGCATGTAGATGTCATCTCCGTCATCCATCCCATAGCTGACAGTGCCATCCCCAATACCCTTTTCTCCACGTTCAAGTTCCTCCAGCAATCTGAAGTTTCGTGGGACTGCAAGAAAACTCAAGGGTTATACATGGTTGAAAGTATAAGGGAACATAACCTTGCATTATGAATTATAAATTCCTTTATTCGCAGTTTTCAGAATGATAAACACAAACACAACCACAATTTTACATGCAGAGAAACCAAATCATGCTTGGATTGGGCGGAAACTCAATTGGAAGCTTCAAATCTCAAAGAATAATAACTAGAAAAAATAGTTCAAAGACAAAAACTACTTTGGTTTATAATCTATACAAATAAAAATTGAATATACAAAAAAATGATTTTTTTCTTCATAAATGCACTCTATACAAAAGCAAACACAAAGTTCAATCTTACATTTCAGAGTTGAAATACTGCATCCACAAAATTATTCAGAAATGAGCTCAATATTTTGATTGCAATAACACGAATTAATAAACATTATAACGAAAAACACACAATTAAATGAAATTTAACAAAAACCCCAGGTGAAAAATCAATAATTTAATTAACTAAAGGCCAAGGTCACCTACCCACATGCCAAATCATATCAAACGGGGCATAAACCACAAAATCAACAAAAACCCATTTGCACACTGGATCAAAATTACACAGAACAAAAAGATCAAGGCAGAATTCGATCAAACGACGACATGGGTTTTGATAGACTCACCCACGACACTCGATCCTCCTGAGCCCAGCGTCATAGATGATGATCAGTTGGGTGGGTGGGTGGGGGTGGTTTCTCAGGTGGGGGTGCTGAGATCTAGCGGAAGGGAGAGATAACGGAAGAGGGCGGAGAGGGTCGGACCGGCGGAGAGTGAGGAATTTGAGAGAATCTGGAGAGAGAGTAAGGCGATGAAGGCAAAGTGGGAATAAAAGAGAAAGAGTCGAGGGCAATAGGGATTTTGATAGGTTACGAAGAAAGATGATAGGTTGGGATTTTTTACATTTTTGGGAATTATGTACAAGTGATTTTATAAAAAGTGGAAATAAAAAAAAACTGAGTTAAAATAGATATTTGGTAAATACTTAAAAATAATTTATTTTCATAGTTTTGAATGAAGAATAGCTGAAAATATTAAATAGAAAAAATAAACTTATTTTCACAGCAAGCAGAAATAGTTTTTTTTTTCAAAGCACAGCAATATCAAACTAGCCATAACTGAGACTCTTTCTTTGCAATTTTCTTAATGCCCAATTTGCATTTTGAAAATAAAATAAAATAAAACAAAAATAAAATATTGTTTAGAATCACAATTTTACATAATTTGAGAGCATCTCCAATATAAATTTTAAATAAAGTTTCCACAACCATATAACTCCTAAATTAAAAAAAAAATGTTTTTAGTCAAAATAATTATTGAGATTTGCATAACTTCTTACTTTAGTTCATAAGATTTGAAATCAAAAGAATTGGCCCCTCGTTTTATCCACAATCAATCATTTTGATTATTCCATGAAAAATCTTCATAAAATAAGGATAAAATAACAACAATATTCTCAAATTTTGTCAAATCATTTTGACCTATTATTTATTAAATTGAGTTAATTTTGTCTTTTGCATTCTTATTTAACATAATTTTTCATCCAATGACTAAAATGATTAATTATGGATAAACTCATGTATCAATTCTATTGATTTAAAATTTAAGAAACCAAAGTAGAAGTTATTTAAATCTCAAAAACTATTTTAGCTAAAAAAACCATAAAAATAAAAAGTAATGGACCGAATAGTTCTCTATTGTTCCAATGTGTTAATAGACTTGTAAAATACCTTGAAGTTGTCATATTTAAGGGACTAAATTGGATGTGACCCAATCCAATTTCTAATAGAAGAAAATGCCCCCCTTGCGCAAGCTGCAGAGCAGCCATGACGAGAAAGCGTCAAAGCATGGGCGAATAGCCAATTTTTTTTGGTCAAATAATAAATATGGTTAGATTAGGTCTTCGAATAGTTATCAAAGGGATTTGAACTCACACCATCATACAAGAATTCAACACTTTTCTACTACTGTGATAAAATGATACTTGCAAGACGATCTTTTGATTGAATTTTTTTTATTATTACTATTATTATTTTTTAAACAAAAAATATTATCTCGCTAACTAACGATATTATCTCACAATAGATTAGCAAACGATATTTAAAAGTCTTTTATATTTGTAGGCAATATTCTTTTAAATGCCAGACTGTCTTTTGATTAAAGAGTCCTCAAATGCTATTACAGGGCTTTTAAGTTTGCCGTTTGCCGCCGAAAGCCAACCGTCCATGGTCCACCCACCCGCCCACGGTCCCACTATCTCTCTTTCTCTCTCTTACAGTAAGAGGGATGCTCGGTCTGACTGCCTCTCTGGCCGCCGCAACGCCACCCAACGCCACCGCCACAAATTCTTGTATCATTCCAAACACCCGTCTTCTCCAGCTATCCCCCGACGCGCAAATACGAACCAATTCCTCATCGTCTTTCACGGTATGCAATTTCTCTGTTTTCATCATTTTGTTATTCACACACACACACATATATATATATATATATATCATATATGTGTGCTTGTTTGTGTATACAGTGTTGCTCAGTGAGGAACTTGCACTCAAGTTGCAGAACAATTAAAGCCATGGCGGCGGCTGAGGAAACCCTTACAGTCACTAACCCTCCCTCACCCGTTTCCGGTATGCTCCTTGCTCCTTTTGCGTTTGTTTTGATAGTTTATTTATGAGTATTCTGTGTTCTTATTTAATTTTTGTGCTTTAAAAAAATAATTATGCACATATATTAAAAATATATTTCAAGAGGGATTATTTGTGGGAGTTTTATGTAATTAAATATTGGTTTCAGGTAATAGGCAGGCTCTGATATCATTGTCAGACAAGAAGGATCTTGCTGTTTTAGGGAATGGGCTTCAGGACTTGGGGTAATTTCAGATGTTCTACTTCTTTCGCTAAATATTGATAACGTTTGGCGCAGATCTTTAAGGAGATCACTTTGTAATGTTTCCAACACTTTTGTATTAAGGAGCTCTTGTTATGAATCATTGTCTTTACCTGTTAGTCTGCTTTCAAATTATATTTTCAATTGCATTATTTGAGTAGGATATATCAAACGCTGATATTTTGGCTTAAACGGTGAGTGTGATATGTTTTTCACGATGGTTGTTTTCTAAAACTGTAGATATCAAATTGTTTCGACTGGAGGAACTGCATCTGCCTTGTCCAATGTATTACTGCTTATTGTTGTTTAATGTAGTTACACTTTATTTTTGTTGTTCAATGTATTTCCCATAATCTGCTTTCCCAACATAATCCTTGTATCACGAGTAGTACCTAAACTTGTCTGAATATCTTTATCTGATATTCCAAGTTAAATATGTTTGTCAATCAGAATCACAAAGATGTCTTGGTGGTGGTTGATTCAGAAGACTATCCCGCACTTCTTGAGTTTCTTAAGGGAGACAAGGATGATCAACAATTCCGAAGGAAGCTTGCATGGAAGGCTTTCCAACATGTAGCTTCTTATGATTCTGCAGTTTCAGAATGGCTTTGGAAGCAGACTTCTGAAGGTACTACGTCTTTGATGATCTTGCTTTTATTTATAAATTTGCTTTGATAAGGCAAGGATTAACAATGAACTATACAGTCTAGATTGATTTTTATTATGCGTATTTGTGCATTTAATGTCTAAGTAGACGGTAGAATCATAATTAACATGCCACATTAGCAGGTAGGTTGCAATCTGTTGAGTCAACATTTTTCTTTTTGAGTACAGATATTGTACACTAATCTACACTAAGGGGAGTGGGGATGGTTTGAACTCGAAACACAGTGGGTTGAAGATCTATGAAAATGCACTTAAATAAATTTGCTTCTGTCACTTGTTGTGATGGGATGCATTGATGGACAAACTTTTTTTTTTTTTCCTCAAGATAAATTCCCTCAGAGCTTAACAGTGCCTATGTTGCTTAAAAGTCCCCTCCGTTATGGTGAAAATCCTCATCAGAAGGCTGCATTCTACGTTGACAAGAGTCTTTCTGAGGTGAATGCAGGTGGTATTGCAACTGCTATCCAACACCATGGGAAGGTAAGATAGACATCTTCCTTTAGCTATTGGATTCCACGTAAAGTAAGGAATTGCCAGGGATTACCCTGCATCCTTATTTTACTGAATAATTATCAGCATTTATGTGGATGAGGAAACCTTGATATTTTTTTATTGAAAGTATCAGGCAAGATTGGAATAGACACCCACTAACTGAATTTAGTCTCATATTATTGTTGTTGTTGTGGACATGCAAATCATTCAAAGTAGCATGTTAAAAGGAGTGAATCATTCAATGTAGGTGTAGCATGTTAAAAGGAGTGAGTTCGTTCACCACATTTGCTTTTGAATATAGATTTTGGTGGACGTATTTGCTTTCCAATATATAAATTTTTGACAGTATTGAAGTACATGAATATAATATTCACTCAAGCATAATTATGATGCCGATGTCAGTGCATGTAACTGATCTTTCCCAGTAGCACCATATGTGGAGTTCTTTGATATTCTGAATGTTAATTGGTGGGAGGAAAATATTTGAATTGGTCTTCGTAACTGGTCCCTCTTTTGAATGTTTACAAAGTACTCAGTCTCATCCGCTTTAAACATTTTAGTTTCTGCATGCAGGAAATGTCATATAATAATTATTTAGATGCCGATGCGGCTTGGAATTGTGTGTCAGAGTTTCAGAATTCTACCTGTGTAGTTGTAAAGCATACAAATCCTTGTGGCGTAGCTTCACGTGATGATATTCTTGAAGCATACAGGCTTGCTGTTAAAGCAGATCCCGTGAGTGCATTTGGTGGCATCGTAGCGTTCAACGTAGAGGTTGATGAGGTGAGTTGGAGTTATCAGGGTCTGACCTCGAATTTATATATGAGACGAGATCCAATTACTATGTACCTTTCAAAACGTTGGTTCACCAAGTTTGTTGAAGTGCACTGGAATTAGTTAGTCTGGCACTGATGTCTTTTAATGAAAAACTGTCCATCACTAAATTGCTATTCTCTTATTTATAATTATTTTACCGAAAACAAAAATTGAAAATATCACCTAAGATATTAAAACTTTTACCACTTGAGCCAAGACTTGAATGGCTAGCTAAACCACTTTCTTTTCAGTGATAATTGTGCCGTGCACGTTGGAAAATTTGATTGGCAACTGGTTTAGTCTGAAAAGCTAGCCCTAAGAAGTTTAAATGTTTACTTGTTTTGTGGTTCGCTCTGTTTCTAAGTCCTTTATTTCTGTTATTCTAGGCTCTTGCTAAGGAAATTCGAGAGTTTAGAAGCCCGACAGATGGCGAAACCCGGATGTTTTATGAGATTGTGGTTGCACCCAAGTACACAAAGAAAGGGCTTGAAATCCTCCGCGGAAAATCAAAGACTCTAAGGATCCTTGAGGCAAGAAAAAATGAAAAAGGAAAGCTTTCACTTAGACAGGTTGGTGGTGGGTGGTTAGCCCAGGACTCGGATGATTTGACCCCCCAGGATATACAGTTTAAATCTGTCACTGAGAAGGCTCCACAAAAGAGTGAGCTTGCCGATGCAGAGTTCGCATGGTTGTGCGTCAAGCATGTCAAAAGCAATGCAATTGTAATAGCAAAGGTCGTCTTTCTTTGCTTCACCTTTAAAACCTCGGCCTGCTCATGTTTACTATATTTTTGGTATGCCACTTTGAGTGAATTGATTGGTACTTTGTGAAAAATATTGGATTCTTGACTTATGAGCAGAATAACTGCATGCTGGGCATGGGGAGCGGGCAGCCTAACCGCTTGGAGAGTTTAAGAATAGCCTTGAAGAAAGCTGGAGAAGAGGTCAAGGGTGCAGCTTTGGCCAGCGACGCCTTCTTCCCATTCGGTAATTTAGTACTCAGTGCATTAATTTTTGTTTATGTTATTCAAGAGTGGAGTGCAAGTGGAAGCTTAATGAGATCAATTTCGTATGCGTGCAGCATGGAAAGATGCAGTGGAAGAAGCTTGTGAAAGCGGAGTTAGCGTAATTACAGAACCCGGTGGGAGCATTAGAGATGGGGATGCTATAGACTGCTGTAACAAGTATGGAGTTTCACTTCTTTTCACAAACGTTAGGCACTTCAGGCATTGATAACGATTTTTTCCCTTGAAGCTTCTGCCTTAGGACCTTAGGTCTGAATCTGTTGTTTCAATAAGATAACTAGGCTTTTCTTGTGGAGAAGTTCCTGTAGACATGCTTGTTTGACATCGAGGCAAATCATAATATATGTTTATTTAATCTGAATGCGGATTTCAGGTACCATAGATTTATAATCTATGTATGCTTGTTATATATTGTTGATCTTCAGGTGTAGTTGCATGAATTTAATTTGTTTTTAGTATATTCTTTTTGTTGGGATTGTTAGCTAGAATCAATGTATTCACAGAGGATACTGTCAAAGAAATTCTCGTGTCTACCTAGAGGGTAACACTATTCATAACACCCCACACACAACCAAGTGAACCGTATGCATGAGATTGGTGAAATCGGGCTAGTGTGGTCCCAAGTACAAAGGCAGTCTTGCTTAGTTGTGTGAGTGGGCGTATGGATGACATGATCCTCCAAGTGAACACAAGATTTTCCCGTAATGCCATGGCTAATAAACTGTCTGCGTTGGGCTTTCTGAGACTTTGGGATGATACATGCTTGAGTCTCCGCTGATATTCGGTGACAAATTGGTTTGTGAAGATATTTGTAGGGCTCTTAAGGATGGTTGTAGTCCTTGTTACATTCATAGTCTGATTTGCCAAACAGGGAAGGAAAGGTAGAAAAACATTACAGCCCCAAAGTAAGACTTGGAGTCTTAGGGGTTTGCAAGCCCATCAGCAGCAATATTTTGTTCACATCTGTTTTACGTGCATGCGAATACGTCAAGAAAAAAAATAGAAGTGCTCTCTCTGATGCGAAATTTTTCAAGATATATGATTTGTAGTTAAAATTATCTTATGATTGGCTTTTGAGGCATATTTCTAACTGAGTCTTCTCTGAAGGCATTCGCAACAAAGAATCTTGGAAAGACAAGTGAATATCTGCATTGGTGGGTGATTAAAGTTAAAGGCCATACATTTTATAATTTGATCTTTCGCATCTGCATTGGTGGGTATGAAAGTTGCCACTCAGTACTAATGTCTGGTGGTATTGCTCTTCACTTGGAAGTAATAGTTCTTAGATTCTAATTTTGTGGATGGCGAATTCGATACTAAATTAGGCTGCCCATTATATAGCTGTGCCGAACACTGTTTTGTTTTTACCAAATAGTTTGAAGCATTATTTTAAAATAATATCTTTATTTAATCATTCTACACATTTTACAACACTTTACACAAAAGTTATCAATACTAAAAAACTGCTGAGTGTACTTACAACAAATTTAAAATGGAGTTTATGACATAGCACGAAGCAATGAAAGGATTACCAGCATAATCCCTTCTAGAACAAGGTCTGGAGTCCACCAGAAGTTGAGAAAATCCCAAAGGATAACTTGATTAATTGATTGAAAGATGGAAGATGCTTACAAATGAGAAGCCAAATGACTTAAATAATCAAGAACAACCTCCTGCGGCATCTCAAAAGACTTATGTAATCAAGACGAAAACTAAAAGAGATAATAGTGGCCTTGAAACCCCAAAAGACAAATAATAAAAAGCTTCATTTTTAGTAAGCTATTGCTGTTGACGAATTTTTGCAAAAGATGACTCAAGTCACTTTTGTAGGAGAATTGGACACCACTTCTATGACCGCATCACGGTCTCAATTTTGACACCAAAATATTTGTTGCCTTTCATGTAGCCATATCTAATGAATCAAACATTTTTCCAACTTTAATCCTTATTTTCCAGAATTTAAAATATTTTATTTTCTTTTTCTTTCTTTGTTGGAAGTGACCTGTATCTTGTCCTACATCAGATTACCAAACGCCATACCTTTTTTTTCCACAATTAATTTCTCACACATCACTTTCAAAAGTGATTTTTCTCACAGTACAGTCGAACTAATTTTATAATATTAAATAATATATACAAAAATGTTATTTTAATTAATTAAGATATTGAATGTAAGCAATCGAGTCATGCTTTGTTTACCAAAAAGAAAAAATGGAAAAAAAAATTTGTGGATGTGAAGTCCTTTGTTGACTTGTAAGTCAAGTCCATTGTATTTTGATACAGCATATCTGGTTAAGATCCAATCATTCAAGGGAAGGACCAGTTTTGGCTTCTGCTTGCAGCACTCTATCTCTTTTGTTGCAATTTTAAACAGAGATGGATACGAAAATTCTACTCTGCTATACGTTGAGATTTTTGTTATGTTGTACCTTCATTGCTTGTATTTCCACGGTGTCTCACACCATCTCTCCTGGCCAATCTCTCTCCGGGGGACAAACAATCACCTCTCCAAGTCGAACATTTGAGCTCGGTTTCTTCACACCAGGTAATTCTCGAAACTATTACATAGGCATTTGGTACAAGAATATACCCATTCAGACCGTAGTTTGGGTCGCAAACAGAAAACAACCTGTTTCTGAACCGAAACTTTCAGTACTAGAACTTGTCGAAAATGGAAACTTGACCTTAAGTAGCCCCTCCAAAGCTGCAGTATGGTCGACTAATTCAAGATCAAAGGTCTCTAATTCTAGTGTAGCAAAGCTTCTTGACAATGGGAACTTTGTCATAACAGATGCATTTGATTCATCTGCTGTTATATGGCAGAGTTTCGATCACCTGTCGGATACTTGGCTACCGGGTTCTGAGCTTGGATACAATAATCGCACCAAGAGAAAACTAGTTCTTACATCTTGGAGAAGCGTGGAAAATCCTGCACCTGGTCCTTTTTCTTTTGAGCTGTATGAATTACCTTTTAATTTATCTGACTATCCGAATGACCTTTTTAGAGGCACACTTGAAATCAATGGTCAGCTCAAGTTTTATGCCGGGTACCAAACCTATTGGGAATGGACTTTGATTTCAACTGAACCATCGGACCAATGTGAGGTCGATGTGTCGTGTGGTGCTTTTAGTATTTGCAACCAGCTGAGTTCTCGTTGTGTTTGCCTCGAAGGATTTGAACCCAAAGTCTTGGAAAATTGGAGACTACAGGACTTCTCTGATGGCTGTGCGAGGAAAACTCCTTTTCACTGCAGTCCTGGGGACTCATTTTTGGCGATAGGTGGTGTTGAATATCCTAAGAACTTCAAGGAAATTTTCCATGTGAGCCTTGGTGAATGCAGATTAGAATGCTTAATAGATTGCTCATGCACTGCTTTCGCGTATGAATTTCCGGACAGTCGTCGGTGTTACATGTGGACAGGGGATCTATGTAATTTAAGGGCAACATACAGATCCGATTTCACAAGTTATTATCCAGACAGCACGGGATTCTATCTCCGGATTGTGGATTCTAAAAATGCGACGACGAGAAAGACTACTTGGATTGTAATTGGAGTACTTGTAGGGTTCTTTTGCATCTTAATTAGTACCTTCATTGTCATGGTATTTTTTAGAAGGAGATGGTCAGCGGGAGCATTGGCGACTACTGGCGATTCTTTGGTGCTTTACAAGCATAGAGATTTAAGAAGAGCAACAAATAACTTCTCCCAAAAACTCGGGGAAGGAGCCTTTGGTTCTGTATTCAAGGGGATGTTGCCTAATTCAACAGCCATTGCAGTGAAAGAGCTGAAAAGTATGAACCAGGGAGAGAAACAATTTCGTGCTGAAGTGGGAACTATCGGTGTAATCCAACACATTAATCTTATTCGCATGCGGGGATTCTGCGTGAGCGCTTCAAAGAGGTTTTTGGTTTATGACTACATGCCAAATGGTTCTCTGCAATCTCTTCTACTTGGAAAAAACCCAACAATGTTAGATTGGAAGGCTAGATATCACATTGCAGTAGGGACTGCCAGAGGATTGGCTTACCTCCATGAAGAGTGCAGAGACTGCATAATACACTGCGATGTTAAGCCAGAGAACATCTTGTTGGATTCAGAATACAGTCCCAAATTGGCGGATTTTGGTCTTGCAAAACTCTTGGGGAGACACCACAGCCGGGTTTTAACAACCATGAGAGGAACTGTGGGCTATCTCGCACCAGAATGGTTTTCGGGTGAAGCCATCACACCAAAAGCCGATGTGTTTAGCTATGGCATGGTGCTGATTGAGGTCATATCAGGGAGGAGAAACAGAGAAGGGTTAGATGACGGAGTAGAGAACTTCCGTCCCATCCGTGTCGCGAATGCAGTTAATAAAGGGGAAGATCTTTTCGCCTTGTTAGATTGCAGGTTGGAAGGCCAAGCAGACGGAGATGAACTGAGCAGAGCATGCAAAGTGGCTTGCTGGTGCATTCAAGAAGACGAGAAGGATAGGCCAACAATGAAGCAGGTGGTTCAAATTCTTGAGGGAGTTTCGGACATCGTTGTTCCGCCAGTCCCGCGGTTCCTCCAGCGCCTTATCGGAGGTCCGTCAGAAGGCATCAACAACCAGGAGACCACATCCGGTTCGGGTTCATGGTCATGCTCCGATGTCCAAAGTGCATTTCAAGCCGAAGTCAGCAACTGCGCATTTCAAGCCACTCATTAACTACCTCTAGACATGCTTGTTGGATATCGAGGCAAAGCATAATATATGTTTGTGTAATTGCATGAATTTAGTTTGTTGTCGTATATTCTTTTCTTTGGATTGCACACCTGAATCGTTTGAGCTGCGTCGTTTGTTAATCTTGTGTGACCTTCGTCTTCCTCTTCGCTCTCTTCAACGTCTTGTGCGAACTGCTTCTGCTTCTGCTTCATTTGTGAAATTATATCTGGACATAAGATTTGGGATGGTTCGATGTCGATATCGGCTTCCTCAGGTCCTTTCGATATTAGCTTCCTCAGGTCTAGCGGCGGCGTCGCAATCGATCTCGTCCGTCCGTCCGGTCGAAGCAACGGTGGCGGCTTAACACTCGGTTCGTCCTTTTTGTTCCACAAATATTTTGCGCCTGCCCTCATGACCCGATCGGCAAGTGGTGCTGGTTGGGGTTCATCGAGTTGTGCCCGATTGTCGAATTAGAAAAGCAAGAGAAAAAGAAAAGAAAAGAAAAGAAAAGAAAGGAAAAGAAGTGAAAGAACCAGAAGCGTCTGGAAAGGAAAAGAAGAGGAAAAAAAGGGAATAGAAGAAAAAAGAAAAGGAATCGCGGAATTCGTAAAGGAAGACAAAAATTAAGTCAGTACTGTTAACTTTAATAAAAACTCATATTTTTACACAAAAAAATTAATCATAGAACTATTTACTTTACTTTTTATTTTATCCTTATCATTAAAATTCAAAGTTTTCAAACATTTTTCATTAGTTTTCCTAAAAATAAAAGATAAGAAATGAAGAATCTCGAAATGAAAAGTAGAAAAGAAAAAAAATGAAGAGAATAAGAAGTTAGAGAGAGGAGAGAGAGAGAAAATAAGGAAAGCTAGAAAAAGGAGAGAAAAAAAAATGTCGATATTAAAAATAATTGAGTCCTAATTTAGAGAATTTATCAAATATAGCAAAAAAATAGCTATTAATTTCTAAATATGTTTTTTTTATAAAAATTTTCATATACATTCAAAATCACACTTAAATAGACATAACTACTCTCAATTTATATGAATAACTAATTGTTAGACTTAAAACTTCTTGTGCTATAATCTCTAACTAAAATTTTCTTTTTTTTTCTTTTCTTTTTCAAACGAAGAGCAAAAGTTTTCTCTCAATTTTTTTTTTAATAAATAATCAAGGAAGGGAAATTTTATTTAAACCCATTTAACATATTTATACACCTAACTTACTCTTTGCACCCATTTGATTTTTAACTAAATTATTAATATCTCTTTAAACCTAAATTTAATACCTAATATACACCCATAAATCCAATTCAATATGTGAATTTATTTTTACACCCAATTCAATAGGATGGCCTTTGTAGACCGTTTGGGTAGTTCTTGTTATTGCTGATGGTGTTTCTGGGTATGGAACTTATGTTGGCTTGCTTATCTACCCTATGACGTTTTACGATTCGAAAAAGAACAAGAAATCCAGGGAAATTTGGTTTAAGAAACTCCAAGGAGTGGACACATAATTCATCTGTTGATTTCAGAAGTTCTGATCTTCTCATTTTTTTGGCTTGGCAGTTGGGCTAAACAGGATGTGTATCATTCATTGTTCCCCAAAGAAGTGATGGCCAACGTCTCAAATCTTGTGGGAGATGAGGATGTAGTTTCTCTCAAAACCAAGTACCACTTTCACTATTGTTAAGTAGATTTTCGAGCTTGTGTAAATTTCGTGTTTGTTATGAAACCCAAGGCACGTCCCATATAGCAGGTGAACAACAATCCTCATATTCTGATAGGAAAGGCACATGCTTATACCTCATCGATAGGTTCTGCTACGGTGTAAGTTCATCATTTCGTTCAAGAAATCTTCGTTGTAGTTTGCCATATTTGTTCAAGAGATCCTTACTTCAGCTTTCCTTTATCTAAGTAGAATTATAACCAAAATACTCGTCTTCTAAACTCTAAAAAATTGAAATCGAACGAACAAAAAATTCATAAATTGAGTCATACCTTGGTTGGAGGATTCAAAACTTCAAAATCACCATCCATCAATAGAAAAACTTATTTTTCTCTATGAGAGCTATTAGGGTTTTAGTAAGAATGAACGTAGGATAAACAAAGAATGATCGTAGGATTTAATTATAGTGTTTGGGTTTATTGATAAATTTGAATTTTATTATTAATTTCATTTTGTACTTAATAGTAATTATGCAATAGGGTAAAATAGACAATTAACATTCAAAATTTTAAGTTTGGTGTAAAAAGAGGTTGCATGAGTTTAAATAAAATTTCCCATCAAGGAAACCTTTCTTTCTCACATGATTCACATAAAACACTTTAGTATGTTATAAAAGTTAACTATCAGAGTAAAGAAATAAAAGTAATTATCTTTTATTTGTTGGAAATTTAAAGAATTGTACGTACAACCAAAATAAACAATAAAATGATCAAAAGAAAATATTTATTCGTCACACCCCAATTTCTTGGCCCAAACGATAAAATGATAGAAAAATAATTTTATTCATAAAACTCCAATTTAAAAGGGTTCTACAAAATAGGATGAAGTTGAACGGGATTCCTACAAGTCTATTTATAATGGCCATATGAACCACATTTTGAACACTTTTGAGTTGATTTTTCTTCTCCATGTGATGGGATCCTCTTTTCTTTGCGCCTACCATATCTTCTTCGTGTCACTAGAACAAAACAGCTCATCTACCATGACAATATAACCACGGACTTTATGAGTTCGTTATCAAAAGTACCATTTTACCACGGGCATAATAAGCACGTAGTAAATAACAATTTTTATCACGAGCAAATTATAGCTCGTTGTGAAATAGCTGCAAATAATCACGCCCAAAAATGCGTATTGTAAATATACCATGCCATCACAGACAGTGCTCGTGGTCAATATTATTAATATCCACAAAGCCTTTTTGTTGTTTACCACGGACAAAATCTGTGGTAGAATCATACATGCTTAACTAAAAATTTTTGAGGAGGCGGGACACAAGAATTTTACCAAATTTCAAACATTTGTAAAATTTGAAAATTTCACAACACTCTCGAAAACTACTCAAAATATAAAGAAGTTATAATTCATTTATCGGTTTATCCCATCCCATCAACTAGGTAGTTACTGCAAGACTCCCCTCCCCAGAATTTCAACGCCTGCTAAACTCCCTACCCCTTGCTCGATCTCTCTTATTCTTCTTCTCCGACCCCAAACCCATTTTCTCTCTTTGCAATCTGGCTCCCCTACATCTTCTTCTTTGCCTTGTTTGCATACACTTTTAAAAGCCTATTTTTTCTAATTTTTTGGGCGTCTCATTATTCCCAATCTACTGGATCTCCGTCTTCTCCTCCAATTAGAAAGCATGAGATCTCGCCGGTGTCTGGTTTGGAGAATACGATTTCAGATGGGACTCTTTTCACTGTGGGTAATTAAGCTTCATCTTTTTTTATTTTATTGTTATAATTTAATATATTTCAATTCTTCCATTTTTTTAATTTAATCAATTACAAATTATGGGAAATGATAAATGGTTTATTTGTGGTAGTTAATGCTTAAAAAAATGAAAGTAATTTTGATATGATTTTTCATGGATAAAATCATATGGTTGTGTTTTTACTCGGCTTTGTGATGATTATCTTTCCAGTTATGAGTTCAATCAATTGCATTGTGGGAACAAACGATTCCCCGTCTTAAACGACAAAGACAAGTCATATGTGGTAGTTAATGGAGTAAATATGTATCATGTTTGGTTTTTGTGCACTAGATAACCTGAATGTGTAAGCAATTGATCAGAAGCTAATGACTTAGGTCAGATGGGAAATGGAACGGAGCAGCAAAGAAATATATAGTATATTTTCCAGAAATGTATGTAGTGGCTAGAGTAGATTCGTGATCTAATCATGTGTTTATCTATTCATTTTTTTAATTGAGATCAAATGTATAGTTCCACCCATAGTAGTACAAGATTTTGTTTTTCTTTTCATCCATATATTTATGTCTATGCAGATCAAAGGAGGTAACAACTTCTGAAGCTCAAGCATTCGAGGCAGTGTTTCACTCTCGAAGTCCTTTGTTTGGAGATGTTCAAAGAAAAATGAAGTGTTCAAGTAACTATGTCTTGGTTATTGGAGGTTTATTTGGTACTTCATAGATAAATTGATATTTCTTAGTAGACTAAATTGGATTAATGGTCCCTGTGGTGATAGGTTAATCGGATGATAACCTCCGTGTTGAAAAAAATTGGATTTAAACCCTCGTGGTGAAGTTTCATTAGGACTCAAACCCAAAATTAACTGACGTCAACTTCCGTTAACATTTCCACCTTGGTTCTTTGATTCTGCCTCTCCCTACCTGGTTCTTTGCATCCCATCTCTCTCTCATTTTCTCTCCAGACCTTCAGCCTGGAGCAAACCAATGGATATTTATCTTCATCCCAGCACCCAAATCATAGAGTCATAGCTATAGTTATGGAACATATGAGTTAATTAACTAATCATTTTCAGCTCCAAAATAAAAGAAATTAAGAAATCGGAGTCATGAGGGCATAGAACAGAAGACGAAGAAACTAATCGTAGCGAAGTTGCCAAGGCAGCGATATACAACAAGATTGCAGATTTATCCATAGACGACGAACAACAATAACCAGTCGAATTGACGAACACGAGAAGAAGAAGGAGGGGAAAAGAAGGGTAAGAGAAGATAATACATAGGTGAGAGAAGGGCAAAATTTATAAAAACGAAAACCAAGAAAAGGATATGAGTATTTATGAGAAACAAAATCTGGGATTAGAAGAAATGTAGGAAAAGAAAAGGGTGTGAAATTTTGGGGTTGGAGTTGATGATGGTGGTGACTGGTGTTAGAATTTTACCCGCATTCCTTCTTCTAACAAAAATATCTTCGAAAAAAAAAAATAGAGGAAAAGTAGCTCTCAAAATTGAAAATTCTAACGGAAATGTTAATTTTGGGCTTAAATCCTAACGGGACTTCACTATGAGGGTTTCAATCCGAATTTTTTCACCACGGGGATTATCTTCCTATTAACCTATTACCACGGGGACCATTAATCCAATTTAGCCTTCTTAGTATAACTCGGTGGTTTTTTTTTCTTTCTTTGCTTTAATGTACAGCTTGTAATTTGAATCTTTGATCTTTTATGT